AAATGTGGTCCTGAAATCCTTTGCATCAGAGTCATCTCTGAAACTTGTTAAAAATGTAGATTTCCCAACCTACTAAATCAGAATCTGAGGATGGGCCCTAGTTATTTGTATTTTTAGAGATGAACTCCTGGTAATTCTTCTGAGATTCTCTAAAAGCCACCAGTTGGGGAAGATAAATTTGAAGTTTAGAAATTCTTGCATAAGATCTTGTCCTTACCAATGTTTATTAAGTAGAACTAAAATTTTTTTCAATTGTGTTAATCCAAAATGCAAAGTACTTTCCTTCCCAGATAAATCAGAGCTGGGGAATGAGGCCTACCTACTTTCCTACTGTAATCTAGTTAAAAGGTTTAAATTTGGAATTCAGAGAAAGAGCAGACATAAGCAGTCAGTCGCATTGCTGGGAATAGTGATAGGGCGACTGTGTAGGTGATTTGCTTTGGCTAGAAAACAGCAGTCATCAGTTCCATTCCTTCCGGGATATCCTTTAGGTCAGCAGTCCCCAACCTTTTTGGCACCAGGGAGCGGTTTGATGGAAGACAATTTTTCTATGGACCCTGGCTGGGGGGTGGAGGAGGCAGAACTCACAGGGTGATGCAAGCCACGGGGAGGTGAAGCGAAGCTTTGATTGCTAGCATGCTCCTCATCTGCTGTGCGGGCCGCTCTCCCCCTCCCTAAGTTTCATGGAAGACAGTTTCTCCAATAACAGGGACAGGTGGGGGTGGGGTGCAGAGCTCTGTGGTCCCTAACAGGCCAATGATCCGCGCTTGGGAACCTCAGTTTTAGGTGGAATGCTTGCCTAAATCCATGCACAGCAGAGTTCATAACTCTTCATGAAGCAGGCCCTGATGGAGAGCCCTGATACGCTAGAACACTAGAGTCAGATACACTTGTCACTATGTGCTATGGTCTGATGTTTGTATCCCTCCTAAATTCATATGTTGAAATCTAATCCCCAAAGTTATGACATTAGGAGGTAGGGAATTTGGGAGGTGCTGAGGTCATAAGGTCTTAGCCCTCATGAATGAAATTAGTGCCCTTATAAAAGAGGCCCCAGAGGGCTGCTTTGCCTCTTCCACCAGATGAGGTCACAGCTAGAAGGTACCAACAATGAGGAAACAGGCCTTCACCAGACAATCTGCCAGTGCCTTGATCTTGGACTTTCCAGCCTTCAGTACTGTAAGCAATAAATTTCTGTTGTTTATAAGCCACACAGTTTATGGTATTTTGTTATAGCAGCCCAAACAGACTAAGACACTTTTCGACTGGATGACTTAAACAACTTGAAATCTTAGGTTCTTTTTTTGTAAAATGGAAATAATACTGGTACCAGACTAATGCTGAAAAATTTTAAACAAAATATTTAGCACAAGGCATGTTATGAAGTTAGCACTTACAAGTGTTTATAGTGATAATTTTACAAGAGCTCAACTATAAAAGCTTGGAAGGTTGGGCTTTTCTGGTTGACTTGGAAGACTGCATCAGTTATCAGACAAGCCCAGGGATCTGGAATAATTCTAAATTCTTGGAAGTTGGGTAGTAGAGTGGCAGTGAGGCCAAGTTAACTAATACAGTCCTTCATCTGAGCTAGATTTTTTATATCTGTTGGTTTCATGGAATATCCATCCAAACTTCATGTCATTTATTGAAATCTATCCTCTCAGGGTTGGTCTAGGACTGAATTGAATTATATGAAATATCACTTGTAGAGTAACATTCTTTTCGGTTCAAAAGAAAATAAAAAGTCATTCCTGAACACACACACACACACACACACACACACACACACCCCACACGCATAGCCTTACCCCTGGTCAGCTGTATAGTATTTCTGGAGTGCCACCTTCTATAAAGCTATTTTAGGTTTTAACAAATGTCTCTGCCTTTTGGTGGTCACCATTATGAAATACATTCACTCTACTCTTTCTTGCCTTATTGCTAAATATTCCCTGAGTAAAATTAGTTGTTACACATTTTCTTATTTAAAACTGCATTGGCTGAGTGATAGGCATCTCCAGGGGCTGCTCGCCTTTAGGAAAATATTAATAATTATTCTCCAGAAATACAACCAAGTCAAATCAAGACAATTACCAGGAGCAATCCTTTATATTATCCAGTTGCACAACACACTTCTTGAATAAATGACATATCCTAATTTAGGATACATCACCAGATTCAAGTCAGAGAGTATCCTCTGCCAGTCAATAAGGGTGCGGGTCACTGGAAGATCCCTTCGTAGAATTTTTCTCAGGGCTTCGTTCGATAGCTCCTGTAGTTCTTCTAGGACTGCAGCTTGAAATTTATTCTCTTGCTCTTCCACAAGCCTTGCAAAACTTAGAGCCAGTTGTGCTTGGTTAACTATTTCCAAGCTTTCTTTCACGTCCTTGGAGATTTCAACATGAAGGTTGACACACCTGAAGAAATGAGCTTGCATAAAAATTCTTCCAGTCACTAGGGTTAGAAATGGGTTCACTTGGAAAATCCATTTAGACTTCCAAAGGCCATTCCAGCATTGTCCTGTTTCATAGTCGTGGTCCTCAATGCAAGCTATCAAGAACTCCCTATTTTTGATAGTTTTTCTCAGCACGTTGCAATTTCCTGCTGGGTAGTGATCACTCACATACAGTTTTAAGGCACACAGAACAACAGTTCTCAGGTATTCTGTCTCATTCCGAATGATACCGTGACTTTGGATGTCTCTTAACTGATTTTGAAGCAAGTCAAATTTGAAAGAAAGTTTGCTCTGATAGTCAAAAAATCGGTAGTCACCCATTACATTGTGGTGAGACAAGAGTACTGGATTTCCATCGATACGAAGTGGTACAGAATATTTTTGGCAGTGTTGGTGGCCTGCACACTCACCTTGATGGTGCATAAGTTTTTCATCACGGACAAGCAGACAGAGATCATCAAAGGCGTTTACAAATTCCCCTGGAGGAGCTTGTATTAACAGTCTGCGAATTACTCTTTCTTTCTCCTTCCTGCTTAGCAAACTAAGTGCCATGTTTGGTTGTAGCAGAAGCAAGGCTTCTGAAATGAAGAGTATTCAAAGGATGAGAAAACATTCCATGAGACACCTTTCCCATCAAGGTGTTAAACATTCAAGCTTAAGATTATTATGTCCAACCATGAAGGCAGGTAGTCTGGCAAGCTCTGAGTCTCCTGATGAAGTCATAAAGATGCTTTCTCTATGAACTGTGGAACTTTTGATGATATCACAATGGACGTGCAGACCGAAAGAAAAAAATGACAGTCACCTGACAGCGTGGTGCCCAGCCAACCAACTATACCTAATTTTGAAGATTTTAAGAACTTAGCCTCCTGAACAGCCTTCTTCAAAAGTGGTGTGTCTCTGTACGTGCATTATATGTTGTCAAGAATCTAGGGAAGCAGTCCAGAGTTTCTGGAGAGTGTTTGACAGCATTTTGCACTGTCAGGATTCACAGTGGCTTCGATTTGTACCCCAGCTCTCAGAATAGCTGCCCAAACCCACTGGAAGCACATTATGATAAAAGGTTTGAAGGGTTTAAACAAAATAGGAAAAATAAAACGAGATACAATGGAAGTTCATGGAAAAATACCAGAATAGCAGGAAAAGCTACAATTCTAAACATCATGGGTTTGGAGATGGTCAGAACATAAGCAAGAAGCCAAAAAGTTTCGAGGACAGGGGAGTTCAGGGACCACATCTTGCATACTGTTTCTGCGGGATTTAAGTGTGAACTTGCTTCAAAGAACAAAGGCAACAAACCACTGTGTATTCTCTGCTTTATCCCTAGAAAAGTGGTGACAGTGGCAACAGCCAATGAATATCAAGAAATTCTTTTCCGCAAAGGGGCAGAGTTAATTATATTTGGAACCTGTGGCAACATCTAATGGGGAGAGACTTCCAAGAGAGGAGAATCAGCACAGCAGGTCCTGGACATTTGGAAACGAAATATCCATTCAGAGGTTCTTTCTGCTCCTCTTTCCTCATCTTTCTCTGGATTTATCCTCTTTATTTGACTCTCGTATTCTTTTTGAAGAGTCCTGAATGTAAGTCCCTCTCATTTAAGGCTAAACTGCTTCCTCCACATCTGTCCTGAGCTTTTCTGAGTTTTCCTGGATTCCAGTATCTTTTTCTTATAAGAACATGAACTTTGCCATATTAAAGTCACAGCCATTAAATTGAAGGGCTTCTCATTAGTTCTAACAATCTGAAACTGAGTGGAATTTTGAACAATTTTTACCTGTACCTTTCATGATTTTATAGATTGTCATTATTTCATTTCACCCTTAGTTTTTCAAATTGAAGTGTCCTAATTTCTGTAGTTTGTATATAATGAGCAAGTTTGTTTATTTTAGTTTTCTCTCTTATACCAAATATATACTTACTGTGATATTTTCAACCCTCTTTCAATGGTACTTAAAATGTTGCTTTTTTGGGGCATGTGTGTAGCTGAACATTTGACTAATGTAGTAATAATAATTATAACAGTCATGGTTACTATTTATTGAACACTCAGTAGCGGAAACTATGTTCAGTGACATATTATGAATTCATTAAATGTTTACACTTTCCTTAAGATTAAGAATTAATTTACCCACCTTTCTGGACAAGTGAACTAAAGCTGAGAGAGATCAAGTGAGAGGATGATCTTGAAGACCAGCTGCCTCCCAAATTCATGTCTCCAGACAATACACTGTAATAACGTTTTAACATATTTTCCAAGTAATAACTTTATTTCTCAAATTTTTATTTTTATTTTTTGTATTTTTAGTGTGCTATGCCCTTTCATGCCTTTACTACAGCATAGTAACTGCTTAATTTGTTTTAAATATTATTTATCATACAATTATGTTGTCATTTACTTTAACCACAAGACAGATTATTCTTTAAACATAAAAATAAGTACAGTAAACTGAAGGAAGATCAAATATTTATTTAGGAATTTTAAATACTCAGTGACTTTTTGTGGGAATTTCCTTAACTTTTTTTTTTTGTTTTTCATACGTGGTTTTGGTCGAAGATTCAGGATGAATTTAGAGGTGGAAAAATTAATCTAGAAAAAACTCAGAAATTACTTGAAAAATTAGATATTCCTTGCAATATTATTCATGTGAAACATATTTTTAAGGTAAGATGATATCTGCCCCCTGCCTCTCCTACCCTAGGAAGGACTTAATCTAATATAAGTAAACGTTAATAGCTTCTGGAATTTTTTTTGTACAAAAAATATGAAAAACTAGTCTCTTAAGAATAAAAGCAATTAATTATGCTAATTATATTTACAATCAAGATGAAGAAATTTAAGTAGGAGGTAAAATTAGTTGTAGATAAAATTTAAAATAGTACAAGACTATTGGTTTAAAGTAATTTCCTGAGTATAAGGAATGCTCACATCAAATCTAAGATTGATTGTATAATTAGATCAAAATAATATAAATGATGAAATGGTAAATGGATTGGGAATTAGTGATTTATATATAACTAAGCCCAAAGTTAGCAGAGGGGAGAAAATGATAAAGATTAGCACAGCAATAAAATAGAAAATAAAAAGAATAGAAGAAGAAATTGTGCAACTAAGTCTTGATTTTCGAAAGGACAAACAAAACTGACAAACTCTTAGCAAGACTAAGAAAAAAAGAAAGAAGGCTTAAATAAATAAAATCAGAAATGAAAGAGAAGACATTACAACTGATCCCACAGAAATAAAAAAGATCGTAGGAACTATTATGAATAATCATACACCAAAAAACTGGACAAACTGCAAAAAAAATCTCCGTATATTCCTAGAAATATACAACCTACCAAGACTGAATTAAGAAGAACTGGAAAGCTTGAGCAGACCAATAACAAATAAGGAGACTGACTCAGTAATCAAAAACCTCTCAACGAAGGAAAGCCCAGGACTAAATGGTTTCAGAAGTGAATTCTACCAAAGATTTAAAGAATTAATGTCAACCCTCTTTAAATATATCCAAAAAATAGAAGAGGGAACACTTCCAATCTTATTTTATAAGGTCAGCATCACCCTGATAATAAAGCTGGACAAAGACATCACAAAAAATGAAAACTACAGGCAAATATTTCTGATGGACATGATGAAATATTCCTCAAAAAAATACTAGCAAATCAAAATCATCAGCATTTTAAAAGGATCACACACCATGACCAAATGGTATCTATCCCTGGCATTCAATGATGGTTCAGTGTACAAAAATCAATCAATGTGATACACCACATTAACAGAAAGAAAGATAAAAAAAAAAAAAAAAGCCACACATGATAATCTTAAAAATACAGAATTTGACAAAATTCAACACATTTTCATGATAATAAGGCTCAACAAATTAGGTATAGAAGGAACTTACCTCAACACAATAAAGGCCATATATGAAAAGCCCACAGCCAATACCATATTTAATGGTAAAAAACTGTAAGACTTTCCTCTAAGATCTGGAACAAGGAAAGGATACCCATTCTCATCATTTCTATTCAACATAGAACTGGAAGTTCTAGTCAGAGCAACTAGTTAAGAAAAAGAAATAAGAGGCATTCAGATTGTAAAGGCAGATGTAAAATTATCTCCTTTCAGAGGTGACATGATCTGATATGTAGAAAACCCTAAAGACTTTGCCAAAAAACTATTAGAATAAACAAATTCAGTAAAGTTGCAAGATACAAAACTTTCAAAAAAGAAATCAAGAAAAAAATCTCATTTACATTAATATCAAAAATAATAAAATACTTAGGAATAAACTTAACCAAGGATGTGAAAAAGTTGTACACCAAAACTATAAAACATTGAAATAAATGTAAAAATATGCAAATAAATGTAATACATACCATGTTATAATAATATGTCCATACTACTACCCAGGGCAATCTACAGATTCAATGCAATTTGTATCAAAATTCCAATGACTTTTTTTTTTTTTTTTTTTACAGAAATAGAAAAACATTCCTAAAATTCACACTGGACCCAAACAAACAAACAACAACAACAACAAAAAAACCAGCCTGGTTTCAAAATATATTAAAAAACTGCAGAAATAAAAACAGTATGGTATGAGCATAAAAACAGACATATAGACCAAAGGAACAGAATAAAAAGCCCAGAAATAAATCCATTCATATATAATCAACTGCTCTCCTACAAAGGTGCTGAGAATACACAATGTGGAAAGGATAGTCTCTTTAATAAAAGGGAAAACTTGATATCCACATGGAAAAAATGAAATTGGATCGTACACCATGAACAAAAATCAACTTAAATTGCCTTAAAGAGTTAAACATAATACCTGAAACTACAAAATCCTAGAAGAAAACAGAAAAAAAGCTTCTTGACATTGGTCTTGGCAATGATTTCTTGGATATGACATCAAAGGCATAGGTAACAAAAGCAAAATAGGCAAGTGGGATTAAATCAAACTAAATGCCTTCCGCATAGCAAGGGAAATAATCAACAAAATGCAAAGGCAATCTATATATCCCATAACAATTATTACGTGTTAACTAAAAAAAATGGCCAGACAGTTGCTCTTATTCATATTTAAATGTGTTTCTTGACAATCTATTCTGTTCTGTTTTCTGTTCGTTCTGTTAAACTCATACCACACTACACAGGACCATCATTTACATTTTCTGTTAATACTGTGATGAAGTCTTTTCCAATACATTTGTTTGGCTCCTATTACCAACCAATATTTCTGAGTGAAAATTAGGGTCACTTTGCAAAGTTCCACCAGACCTGGAATTGTATTGGCTATAGTGGGCAGATATAAACTGAATTATACACACACACACACACACACACACACAAAGGCAATCTACAGAATAAGAGGAAATATTTACAAACCACATATCTGAGAAGGGTTGATCTCTAAACTATATAAGGAAGTCCCACAACTCAACAGCAAAAAATGAAATAATCCGATTTAAAAATATGCAAAAGAATTATATAGACATTTCTCTAAAGAATACATTCAAATGGCCAAAAGGCATGTAAAAAGATGCTGAACATCACTAACCATCAGAGAAATGCAAATCAAACCACATGAGATATCACTTCATACTTGTTAGAGTTTTTATTATTCAGAAAAAACCAGAGAAGTGTTGGCAAAGATATGAAGAAAAGGGAACTGTTTTCCTGGTGGGAATATAAATTGGTGCAGCCACTAGGGAAAACAGTAAGAAGGTTCCTCAAAAAATTAAAAATGAAACTACCATATAATCCAGTAATCCCATTTCTGTGTATATAGCCCAAATCAAGAGATTTCTTCACTCCCGTGTTCATTGCAGCATTATTTACAATAGACAAGATATGAAACAATCTAAGTATGCATCGACAGAAGAATGAATGAAGAAAATGTGGTATATACATATGATGGATATTATTCACCCTAAAAAAGAAGGAAATCTTGCCATTTGGGGCAACATGGATAAACCTAGAGGCCATTATGCTAAGTAAAATAAGCCAGACAATAAGCCAGACACAGAAGGACAAATACTACATGATACCACTCATGTGAGGAATCCAAAATAGTCAAACTTATCAAAGCAGGGAGTAGAATGATGGTTGCCAGTGGTTGGAGGGAGGGAGAAACAAGGAAATATTAGTCAGAAAGCATAGTTTCTGCTACACAACCAGAATAAGTCCTAGAGAGCTACTATATAGCATAGTGCCTATAGTAAATGACACTATGTTGCATACTTAAAATTTGCTAAGAGGGTAGATCTTATATTGAATGCTCTTACACACACACAGCTAATAAAAAGGGCAGAAAGGGGTGGGGAACCTGCTGCCTTGGGGCCACATGTGGCCTTCTGGATCCTTCAGTGTGGCCTTTTGACTGAATCAAATTTTACAGAAGAAATCTGTTTAATGAAAGGATTTGTTCTGTGAGGTTTGGATTTGGTTGAGGGGCCGCAATTGGGGATCTGGAGGGCCACGTGTGACCTTGAGACCACAGGTTCCCCACCCCTGTGAGAAACCCATGCCCCAAATTCTGTTTGTTTATAGAAAGACTAGCAGGATGGAAATGTGGCTCAATTCTGTCACTAGATGACAGAGGGAGGATTGTGAATAAAAAGAAGAAAAGCCAGTGTTTTAGCTGAGCTTTGTAGTTCGAAGATGGCAAATTTCTTCGAGAATCAGGCAAGAATGCTAGACTGGCCAATCCAGGTAGTTAGGAACATGGAAATCTTGCATATGATTTTGTTTTTTTGAAAGTGAGTACCCAGATACGCAATCTATGTTAAGTTGCTATCGTTAACACAAAGTGGGGAGGGTGTGACTCTTCACTCTCCTTGCAAGCTAACAAGGTAGTCTGGATGTAGCTTCATGGAGGCTGGCAGAGGCAGGCTTGTGGCTTGTTATTACTCACAAAAATAATAGTTGCCAGAGTATTAGCATTTTGATGTCATGTCTCCAAGCCCCAGTTCCTAAGGTGTGATACAAAGAGGACCAGGAGACATACACATTGGGTTGCCTTACAGGAGAGGAACCTCAGTCTTAAGGAATCCAGGTCTTTTACGATGGGCAATAAGCCCGTCTGATCTTTGCCCCGGAGAATGTCATCATCATTGTTATGGTGGCCAGTAAACAAAAACTACTTTTTCCTCTGGAAGGAGACACTATCTTTACCAAAGCTGTTCACTATATAAAAATCTTTGAAAAGCTAGTCCCAAAGAAAAGTGGTCAATACCTTTGCTCAGAAAATGTATAGAAACACAAGAGACCCATGGAGAATTGTCCTCTAACAACCACTTCTCTCAATAAGATTTAGCTGCCAAGTTCACAAACCACAAAAAGGAGGTTCAAAAAAGGAAAGCTGTCCTTCTCAGGAGACTGCTGCAGTAAAAGACAAAAGTTTCGGAGTTGTTTCTATGAATCCAAGTAGTGTGTGCTGCCATCAGAATTTTAGTCAATTCACGGCTAATACCACATTTGAAGAACACAAGTTTTAGTGAAAGATCTTTGCATGTTGGATTTTCCCCTCGATGGTATCTTCCAAAGGGAGAAACAGCTGTGTGCTTCCTGATTTAATAAAATTCACATTCAACACAATATAGAGGTAGTAATATATTGAAATTTGTATCCAGTGTGAAATATTGTGAATATTATTCAGTGAT